CAGCCGTGCGAGCCGGGGGCCGTGCCCGTATCTGCCTGACCGCCGGGCGGGTGAGGAAGGTGCTTGGTGCCCCGGCACGGGGATGGGAAGGGCTTCTCGCCAGTGCCATCGGCCTCTGTGTGACCGGAGTGGCAGGGCCCTGGTTCTGGCACCCTAGTATTTGAGGCTGGGGGCATAGGAGGGGGTGACGATGTGACACCGCCCGTGCACATCGCCGCTGACCGTGGTGTGCAGGAAGTGGGGTGCCTGTAGTTTTTAAGCTTCTGTACGTAGGGGGGCTGAGTGAGACTGTGACCACCAGTATCTTCTAGTACCGAGCAAGGGACCCGGTGTGCCGTCAAGTTTCAGAGTCAGTGACGCGTTGGAGAGGAGGTGCTGGTGTGTGTTCGTTGTGTCTTTCTGCAGGAATAATTGCACTCCTCGGAATCGTTATTTGCAAAATCACAGAAATCTGTTTTGGAAATTACACACTCGGAAATGATTTAGGTACTGGGTAACTTGCATGCAAACACATACCTGTGTCTCCATTACCTTCATCTCCATTGGAGAGGACACTCCTCTCCTAACCTGAGAGAGAAGTCAGCTAGTCTAGGTTGATGATTCTGGATGCTGCAGGGCAAGTCTAGGGGCTCATGCTCTCTCCCTACTTTCTCATCTAAGCACGCTGCTCTTTCCTAGAAGAATAGCCCAGAGGAGGAAGGGATGGCTGTGGGACTTCTGAAAGCTGTGTATCAGGTGAGTAGTGTTTTCTCTTTTTTTTCATTGATGAAATTTTTCAGCGTCCCCAATCAAGTCACTTCTTAGTACCTGCCAGTGGATTCCGGTATATTCAGGATAAATGCAGCTTGTCTCAGCCTGCAATCTCTGTGTTATGGGTCTCTAATTACTCCTCCAGTGTCATCTAATTTTTTTCACCCTGTCTGTAATTCACTCATTTCCTTACAGTGAGTTGAGTACATTCTTTTTTTTTAAAGATTGATTTATTTGTACATATAAGATCTGGGGTGCAGGCCAGAGGTGGGAGGGTGAGAAGATTCACCAGAGACAGAGTGGGGAGCAGAATAGGCAGATTGACTGAAATTCACTGCTGAGGGGAGCAGCCCGCAAGACAGGAGAGGTCTCTGCACCATGTGGGTCAGCTCCCTGGCTGGGAATCGAACCTAGGCAGTGGCAGTGTTAACACTGAGACTTACCCCCTGGGCCCTCAGGGAGGCCAAAAAATGTAAGGGAGAGAGAGAATTGGCGGTAACTAGAGGAGAAATTGTGGTTAACAAGTTTTCTTAAAGATGGGTAAATATATATAGACTGATGTGAAGGATTGAGTAGAAAGGAAAATTTGAAGGTGAAGAGAAGAAATGGTTGGAACACAGCTTGAGTAGGTGAGAGGAGCTGCAGTCTAGTGTACAGGTAATTTTTGCTGAGCAACTGGACTGTTCATATAGTAGGAAAAAGATAGAGTGAGTACACTGATGTGGATGCAGGCAGATTTGTACATGTAGGAGTGGGTGGAAATCCTCCTAGAGTGGCTTTTATTTTTTAAGTGAAGCAAAAAGGATGGTAACCCCCTAAGAGTAAGGATAAGGGAACAGATGTTAAACTACCAAATGGACATGTAGGAGAAGCAATTAAGGGCCATAGAAAACAATAAAGCAGATTAGGGAACTAGCAAACTGGGGTGGGCGCCCAGCTTCTGTTCTATGGAATGGCTGCAGAAGAATGGTGTAGGGGGCGCAGGTCTGACATAGCTGAGGCCGGAGCAGCTGAAAGGGCCGGTGTTTCCCCGGGTGGGATGATTGAGGGGACTGTGGTGAACGATGCGATTATTTAATTTCATTTATTTTCTCTCAGGAGCTGGTTACGTTCAGAGATGTGGCTGTTGACTTTTCCCAGGAAGAGTGGGATTGTCTCAGTTCTTCTCAGAGGCACCTGTATAGTAATGTGATGTTAGAGAACTACAGGATCTTGGTGTCACTGGGTAAGAATATTCGTTTGACAATCTTTTTTTTTTTTTTTCTGCTTGACCATCTCTTAAAAAAATAAAGAAAGAATATCCACTTGAAAAATTGAGTATCTACTCATAAGGGGCTTTTTGTTATCAGTGTGAATTTTTTGATAGCAGCCATAGTAGTTGGTTGAATGTCAGCTGCCTGTGCCTAATAAGGTTTAATGGTTTAATAATTGTGGAGTGAGCAGTGGACAGGTCTACTACTAGTCCATGCAAGAAGCTTCGGGTTCTCTCTCCTCCAGATATATGCCCTTTATACATTTTTCTTGGCTTATTGTGAACTGTGCTCTTCTCTGCTGACCAAGAGTGGGTGTGAATTCTGCATAGCATTACCCAATTCTGTTTCTCTTTCTATAGGACTTTGCTTTTCTAAGCCAAGTGTGATATTACTGTTGGAACAAGGGAAAGAGCCCTGGCTGAAGAGAGAACTGACAAAAGGCTTGTACTCAGGTGAGTGAAATGGAAACAGACACAAACCTTTGCAGGTTATAGCGCAACTTGACTCAGAAGTATCACCTGTTCCCTCTTCACTGACATGTTCTCAGATGTCTAGATCTTAGTAGAAAATTGGAGCTCTGTAGCTGGCTTGCTGAACATTGTTATTCTTTTTTTTTTTTTTTAAGATTTATTTATTTATGCATATAAGAACCAGGGTATAGACCAAAGGTACAGAAGGTGGGAGAATTCACCAGAGACAGAGTGGGGAGCAGAACAGGTGGATCTGCTGAAATCTGCTGCTAAGGTGGATATCGGGCAGGGCAGAAGAGGTCTGTCATGCCACGTAGGCCACCTCCTTGGCCTGGGCTCGAACTCATGCTGCAGCGCCTACAGATAGCTTCGTAGGCTGTGCTTTAACCTGTTGCACCATGAGGAAGGGCCCCAATGTTGTTACTTTTTTAAAAAATACTTATTTATTTATGCACATAAGAACTGGGTACAGGCCAGAGGTGCAGGGGAGTGAAAAGATTGATTAGATTACAGAGTGGGGAGCAAAACAGGCAGATTGACTGAAATACACTGCTGAGGGGAGCAGCAAGCTGGTCAGGAGAGGTCTGCTGTACCATGTGGGTCAGCTGCCTGGGGATCGAACTTGTGCTGCAGGGGCTGTGGATTGCTTCGTAGTGCTGCAATTTAACCCATTGTGCCACTAGGTGGGCTCCAAATGTTATTCTTAATTGTCTTTGCTTTCATACTTCGCCTTGTCCTTTCTAATAACTTATCTGTTTTCTGAGTTCCATCCTTTCTAGTTTAATAACCCCCTTAGAGCCTTTAAAACATCTTTCCTAATCTGATAAACTTTTGAGGTCTACATACAGCTGTAACTGAAATTACAGATATCCTGGCACTGTGCAGTCAAGATTGGGGCAAGTTACTTAACCTCTCATTTTCATTTCATCATCTATAAAATGTGCTAATACTTTGGAAGTTCTTTGACTAGTGCCTGTTTCCTATTATGACAGCTGCTGGCTACTATTACCACGAGTAGCAGTTTAGCTCGAAATGCCCCATTTTCCTTTTGGGGGTCAATTTGTTCATTCTTTTATTCTTTTCATCATTATTTACTGATGTACTTCAAACATCGTCCTTGGAAGATCTAGGGAGATAACGTTCATACAATAAGCAGCTGACAGGGTGGTCGATTATGTGAAGAGAAGCTGAGGTAAAGGAAGCTCAGAGGCAGAGGAGGGTGGGTAACTGGAAGGTGATGATTTTTAACAAGAACACAGGTCACAAGTTAGAAAACTAGAGAGAAGAGCTAGGAGTTTAGTTTTGTTGAAGAATTTTCAAATAGACATAGGAAGCATTAAGGTAAAATGAGGATTGAAGTTCAGAAGGAAATCAGGGTCCTTATAAACCTCTCTTCCTCAACTCACTTCCCTTCTGCTACCTCTCCCCAGTCTGTTATATCAGTTTTCTAAGAAACTATTTTTTTTTTTAAGGTTTATTTACTTATGCATACAGAACTGGGGTACAGGCCAGAGGTGCAGGGGTGGTGAGAGGCTTCACCAGAGACAGAGTGGGGAGCAGAACAGGGGAATTGAGGAAGCGCACTTCTGAGGGGAGCAGCGGGGAGACAGGAGAGGTCTGCCCCGCCATGTGGGTCAGCTCCCTGACGGGGGATCGAACTCAGGCGGCAGTGACTGGAGATAGCTTCATAGTGCTGAGACTTAACTCCTGTGCCACCAGGAGGCCCATATGTCACATTTTGCCAACAGTGGACATTTTGGTTGCTTCCATCTTTGACTGTGACCATCCTATGAAAATGCGTGTATAAAAATTTCTTTGAGACCTGTCTTTTTCAGTTAGTTTAGGTATATATTCAGACGTGGGATACTTGGATCTTACAGTATTGTTAAACTTTGAGGAACTGCTGTATCGTTTCTACACATTTCTGCCATTTTCCATTCCCTCTGAAGCACACGGGGTCTCCAGTGTCACCACATTTTCACCAGTATTTGTTATTTTCTTCCTCTTTTAACAATAACATCCAAATGAGCATGAAATAGCATCTCATTCTCTTATTTTCATTTCCCTAGTGATTAGTGATGTTGAACTTCTTTTTTTTTTTTTTTTAAAGATTTATTTATTTGTGCATACAGAACTGGGGTGCAGGCCAGAGGCTCAGGGGCAGTGAGAGGCTTCACCAGAGACAGAGTGGGGGGCAGAACAGGCAGATCAACGAAGTACACTGCTGAGGGGAGCAGCGGGCGGGTCAGGAGAGGTCTGCCTCGCCATTTGGTCACCTCCAGGGCAGGCAAGAATTGAACACATGCGGAAGTGGCTTTAGCTTCTCAGTGCTGTGCTTTAACCGGCTGCGCCACCAGGGAGGGCCAGTGTTGAACTTCTTTTCACGTGCTTGTTAGTTATATGTATTTCTTGGAGAAATAGCAGTTTATTTACCTGTTTTTCAATTATATTCTTGTTGAATTGTAGGAATTTCACATATTGGATATTAGGAACTTTTCAGATAGATTGTTTACAAATATTTTCTCTGTGTATTGCCTTTTTTTTTTTCTTAGTTTTGTTTTTTTTTAATTTTTGTTGTTGAGCTCAGCAGGTTTTTGTTTACTAATCTGGTTTTGGTTCATGTTACTGATTCCACAAGGTTCCTGGTATTGAGCTCCTTTAAGTTGCATTTTTATGTGTTTATTATGTTGATTCTGTCCTTTAATGCACAAAAGTTTTTAACATTCATGAGGTTGTTTGTCTACATTTAGATTTTGTTTCTTATACTTTTGGGATTGTAACCATGGAATTGTTAGCAAAGCAAACATCATGACAATTCTTTTCCTATGTTTGCCTCTAAGAATATTTTAGTTTGATCCATTGTTGATTAATTTTTGCATATGGTGTAATGTAAAGGTCCCACTTGATGGTTTTGCATGTGCATTTCAAATTTTCCCTCTACCATTATTGAAAAACCTGTCCTTTCCCCTGTGAATGTTCTTCACATCCTTGTCAAAAGTTATTTGACCATATACAAAAAGGTTTATTTTTTCTCCCATTTGTCTATATGACCATATTTAAGCCACTGCCACACTTTTTTTTTTTATTACTGTTGCTTAGTAGTAAGTTTTTAAATCAGGCATTATGAGACCTCCACCTTTGTTCTTCCTTTTCAAGATTATTTTGCCTATTTAGGATCCATTGAGTTTCCTTATGAGTATTAGGTTATGTTTTTCTGTATCTGGAAAACACAACATTGGAACTTTGATAGAGATTATTTAGGCTCTCTATATAGTTGTAGGTAGTTTTGACATCTTAATTTAAATCGTGAATTAACCTATGAACACAGGATATCTCCATTTATTTGTCATTTTAATTAGCCACAAATGTCTTGACATTTTGTGGCTTTTTTTTTTTTTTTAAGATTTATTTATGCATACAAGAGCTGGGGTGCAGCCCAAGGGTATGTGGGAAGTGAGAGGATTCACCAGAGTCAGAGTGGGGAGCAGAACAGGTAGATCTAAAGAAATACACTGCTTAGGAGAGCATGGGGCAGAACAGGAGATGTCTGCTGGGCCATGTGGGTCTTTTCCCTGGCCAGGGATTGAACTCATGCTGCAGTGGCTAGAGATAGCTTGAGTGCTGAGACCTAACCCCTTGCACCACCAGGAAGGTCTACTTTGTAGCTTTTAGTTTATGACTTTCTTACTTTGTAATTAACAACTCCTTGGAAATTTATTATTTTTGAAATTACTGTAAATGGAGTTGTTTTTTAATTACCTTTTTAGATTGGTAATTGTTAGTGTATAAGAAGTACAACTGGTTTGCGCATGTTAACTTTGCATCCTGCTATTTTCTGATTTTACTTGTTCTGATTGTGTGTGTGTGTGTGTGTGTGTGTGTGTGTTACCTTCATGGTTTCTAAATACAAGACTGTGTAATTTACAGCCAAAGATAATTTTTGCTTCTTCATTTCTAATGTGAGTGTTTATTTGTTTTTCTTCCCTAATTGCTCTGGCTGTAATGTCCATGTATTGTGGGTGTTGACTAGTGTTAGCTTCTTTGTCTTGTTCCTGATTATAGCGGGAAGCTTCTAGTCTTTGACCACTGACTGTGATGAGCCCATAGTTAGCCCAGCTATAAGCTCTTTATTCAGGGCCATTATTATATTAAATGGTTTTCTTCTATTTTTAGTTTGTTGAGTATAATAATCTCTGCCCTCTGTTTTCATATACTATATGTTTTTACTTATTGAAAGGTTCACTTGGGGAGTTTCCCATGTCAGTACATTTAATTAATTCTTTTTTAAGACTACCAGTATTAACTATTGTTACAATTTTTGTGACATTTCTTGACAAGTATATTCCAGTCCTGTGTGTTGTTATGATTATATATTTTATTCTTTTTCAATATAAACTCCCGAACAGGATGATTTCCATTATAACCTTCAACTTAATATCATGTTGTTAAGTCTCTTTTGTTTCCTTCCCTTTTTTCAAATTCCTTAATATTGTGTGCTAGGGTTCATTCCTGGCTCTTTTCTCTTCTTGTTATCTATACTCATCTTCATGGTAACATCCTCTAACTTAACATCCTCATCTGTAGGCTGGCTGTATAAAATCTCTAGTCCAGATCTCTGTTTTCAACCCATCTGCCTTCTCAACATTTCAGTTTCAAAGTCTGAAAGATACCTTAAGTTTATTATCTTCATAACTGAGCTCCAGATCGTCTCCATTTTGCCACTTAAACCTGCTGTACTCTTGGCCTTTCCCATTACTGTACCTGGCTATTCCATCTCTGTGTGCTCAGACCATAAACATTGAAAGCCTCCTTGTCTCATCTCTTTCTATTCAGTTTCACTCCTAGTGTGTCAGGATAGCCTCAGGAACTCTACCCACAGTCTGACTCCATAATCAGTGTGCCTTCCTTGATATCTACCTGGTTGGACTCTTTCTCTCACCCGGATTGCTCAGTAAGATGTCCCCTGGCTTCCACCTTCAAGTAACAGGAACTAGGTTTCACTCCTAAAAACTTCAGCGGCTCTCTATCCCACTCAGAGCAGAAGTCAGATCCTGAGGGGAGCCCGTGAGGCTTAAATGATATCCTTAACCTCCTGACTTCATCTCCCAGGTCTTACTCCTCTCCAGAAGGCCAACATGGCCATCGTGCTGTTTCTCAGACATACAGATATCCTTTTTTCTTCAGGCTGTTTCTTCTGTCCAGAGTTTTCTTTCTCCAGATAACTGAGTGAATAACTGGTTTACTTTCTTGAAATATTTGCATAGTGTTATTTTACTGATGATTCCTGACTTTGACTTCAGCAGTAATCCATAACTCTTAATTTTCTTTTGCTTTTCCCTAGCACTTAGAATATTCTAACATACTATAAAATGAATCTATCATCTTTTCCCTGGTGAATGAAGCAACTATAAAAATGGACATTATTTCAGTGCAAAAAATTGTAACCAAGTCCATTCAGCTCCATCATTCCTTCTTGAGCTGAGATTTACCTTGCTGATTTTTTATTTTTTAAAGATTTATTTAAATAATTCTAATCATACCTCCACAGATTTCCATGTGACCGCTTTTCAGTTTCTGTTACTGCTCTCTTCAGAAGTCTGAAAGCCAGTGTTGATGAAGACTATGTTTCCTATTCACATACTTTATATTATGCATGTGCTTCTATAAATGTACCATGTGGTACATAATAGAGGAGATTTTCTTCTTACTATTTTTCAGACTGGGAATCTATATATGAGACTGAAAAATCAACTCCAAAGGAGGACAATGATGAAGAACATTCATCTGAGAAGATAATGGCAAAATGTACAAACTATGGCCTTGAGTACTCTAGTTTAAGAGAATGGAAATGTGACGGCCATTTTGATGGGCAACCAGGGAGTCAAAAGGCATGTTTTAAGGAAGAGACAATCACTTATGAAGAGGCTCTTGTTGATGAGCGAGTACAAGAATATAATAACTCTTGGGGAAATTTCCTTCCAAACACACTGCTTCATGTGCAACAGATAGTCCCCAAAGAGGAGAAAATGCATAAACACGACACACATAAGAACTTAAAAAAAAATTTAATGTCCATTAGGCCGAAGAGTATATATGCAGAGAAGAAACTTTTGAAATGTAATGACTGTGAAAAGGTCTTCAGCCAGAGCTCCTCTCTTACTCTCCATCAAAGAATTCATACTGGAGAGAAGCCTTACAAATGTGTAGAATGTGGGAAAGCCTTCAGCCAGAGATCGAATCTTGTTCAGCATCAGAGGATTCATACTGGAGAGAAACCCTATGAATGTAAGGAATGTAGGAAAGCCTTCAGTCAGAATGCACACCTAGTGCAACATCTGAGAGTTCATACTGGAGAGAAGCCTTATGAATGCAAGGTGTGTAGGAAAGCCTTCAGTCAGTTTGCCTACCTGGCTCAACATCAGAGAGTACATACAGGAGAGAAACCTTATGAGTGCATTGAATGTGGGAAGGCTTTTAGTAATAGATCCTCCATTGCTCAACACCAGAGAGTTCATACTGGAGAGAAACCTTATGAATGTAATGTCTGTGGGAAAGCATTTAGCCTTCGTGCTTACCTTACTGTACATCAGAGGATACATACTGGAGAGAGACCTTATGAATGTAAGGAGTGTGGGAAGGCCTTTAGCCAGAATTCACACCTTGCTCAACATCAAAGAATTCATACTGGAGAGAAACCTTATAAATGCCAGGAATGTAGGAAAGCCTTCAGTCAGATTGCCTACTTGGCTCAACATCAAAGAGTTCATACTGGAGAGAAACCTTATGAATGTATTAAGTGTGGGAAGGCTTTTAGCAATGACTCATCCCTTACTCAACACCAGAGAGTTCATACTGGAGAGAAACCTTATGAATGTAATGTTTGTGGAAAAGCTTTTAGTTACTGTGGATCCCTTGCTCAGCACCAGAGAATTCATACAGGGGAGAGACCTTATGAATGTAAGGAGTGCAAGAAAACCTTCAGGCAGCATGCCCACCTTGCTCATCACCAGAGAATCCATATTGGGGAGTCCCTGTCACCACTCAATCCAGTCAGTCACCAAGTCCTATAGACAGACCCTCTCATAAATATTTTTGAAATTTATACTTTTCTCCATCTCTAATGTTCTAACCCAGTCTTAAAATTTACCTGGATCACTGCTGTAACTTTCTAACAGGTCTTCCTGTTCCAACTTTTGGTCTTAAATTCATTTTCCACTATGTACCCACACTGATCTTTTTGAAATATAAGAATACACTTATTGCTGCCTCCAGTTAAAATTCTTTCTGACTTCTTGTTGTTAAGCTAATATTCAGTCTTTAAACTTGTCTATGAGGCATTTCATTACCTGGTTCTAATATACTTTTCAGCCTTATTTTATTCCAGTCTCCCTCTCTGGTCACTAAGCAGTCGTAGGACTCAGCTTAGATTCTTGAAAATCATTGCTGTAATGCTGGAGTGGCATTATGGTAGCATTGTGTGGCTTTGAGTCATTTGTTTGAGTCATTAAGCCTCAGGATTTTCTTTATTTCTTGAAATAGAGGATAATAAAGGATATTGTAGAAATGTGAGTATTAAATGAAAGTGTCTGTTGTAGATTGATGGAATTTAAAAAGAAATTTGCATGTAAGAACTTCACATAGCGCATCAAATATAGCAGATATCCAGTAATTAACATGCATTGAGTATGGACTATTCACCTGGCACTATTATACATATTCAATATATATAACATATATATGTATACTAATTCATTTACTTCTCACAACTGTAACAAGATTCCTTAAAGGGCAAATAGACTATCCCTGGGAAGCATCAGGTCAGTATTGGGAAAACCTAAAAGTTTTAGAAAATGTAAGCGGGAATCTTTGTACTCTAGGTGAGTAGTCAGTACTTACACAAGCAGTATAACCATAACAATCTTTCTATAAGCTTCTAAAGAAATGTCTAAACAGAGGATTTGGATAAACCAATTAAGTCAATGAAAATGAGGCTTAACCAAGAAGAATCCTTTCTTTGCATTAAGATCAAGAATAGAGAGGACCACAATTAACTCCAAAAAAATAACAAATGTAGAAATTTATACTGACTCATTAAAAAAGCAACAAATCCAGATATAGGTAGATCTGGGAAATTTTAAAAGTATTTATACTTTTCTATACCATTCACAAAGTGTAAAGGCTATAAACGTGGCGTCCATTGTTGGTAATGTGAAATTAAAAGAGAATTGAGGAAGAAAGGAAAATAGATAAGCTTTCATTCAGTGACTGCTGAGTAGCCATTATTTGCCAGACACTATTTTAAGCATGAGGAGGCTCTAATGATCATGTTCTGATGGAGTTACTTTTTAAAGGCTGTAACAGTAAATATAAGGCAGTAGTTTTCTAGATACAGAAAACTGAACAATAATAAAATTGAGTATGACATAATCTAGGCTGGAGAGATTCAAGATGATAACATCGATTATTCCTAATTCACAATGTACTGGAATTCCAACCAACATTCTTCAGTGGACCTTATGCCCACTCATTTCACAGCTTTATTCGGAAATTCAGCTATGAGATGTGAATACTCAAGAAGAGCAACAAAATAAATGAATGTAGTCTATGTGTAGAAATTTTGCACATTATAAAGATGGTCCAGAACAGTAGAGAATGAATGGATTTGGAGTTATTAGAATAGTTGAATATACATCATCAACAGTAAGGAAAATGCAGATAAAACCACAGTCAGGTATTGTGATGACAAAACCATCACAGTGCCAGTTATTAAAAAGATGGGAAGCAGTAGGGATGTTCATACAGTTCTAGCAGAAGTAGTTGTTTTTAGAATAATTTGGCAATATCTAGCGAAGTTGAAAGTGTAGACACGCTTTAACCCAACAGTTCCACATTGAAAGCCATAGTTTCGTGTGTTCAGGGTTGTTTTTGAGAAGAGAAAGTTTAAAGTGCTCAAAATAACCACTAGAGTGTATATGTTAAGTCCCAAGTTAAAATGAATGAACTAGAAAATTTCTACCAACATGGATAAGTGTTGAAAACTATTACTGAAATAGTACTAGTGAGTATGAGTATTTTATGAGGTGGTACCACTTATTTATATAAGTTTGAAAATATGCAAATCAGTGCTGTGTATATCTTCCATGGTTACATATATAGAAATAGTGTAATGATATTCATGGACATAATCTCCAAATTCCAAACAGCGGTGACCTCTGAGGAGGGAGAAAATTACCAAGGAAAGGACATGAAGGGAGATATCTTTTAATAATTTATTTATTTGAAATTTTGAGCAAATATGGACAATTCTTACACTTGATAAAGCTGGTTGTGGGTTTATAAGTAAACTAGTCTGTATCTTTCGGTGTATACTATTTCACATTAAAATAAAAATTTAACTGATGTTTGCCTTTCCAAGTGTCTTCCTGTTTTCCCATCCATTTGCACTATTTTTTTTTCCAGAAAGAAACATAATTGGCACCTTCCTCTTGCCCTAGGTGTCAGGTCTCAGCACTATCTCCTAAGGCCTGAGTTCCATCCCCAACTGGGGAGGTGACCTACATGGCACAGCAGAACCTCTCCAGCTCACCCCTCTGAGCAGTGTATTTTAGTGGATCCTGCCTGTTCTGCTCCCCACTCTATCTCTGATGAGTCCTCTCACTTCTCCCCACCTCTGGCCTTCACCCCAGCTCTGTATGCATAAATAAATAAAACAAATCTTTTAAGTAAGCTAATCCCATTCATGTAGGCTCTACCCCCAAGAGGTGACACTCCCAATATCATTATACTGGGGGTGAGAATATCAACATAAGGATGTGGGGGCTGGGACACATTCAGTATATAACAATTGTGTTCTCTTTATTGTTTTGTAAGAGTTCTTCATATACTCTGAATCCAAACTATGCTAATATCTGAATATTTGTGTCATCCCTAACAAAAAAAATTGTACATCAAGTCCTAATGTATAACATAATAGTATTTGGAGGTGGGGCGTTTGGGAGAACTGGGCCACAGGATGGCACTCATGGATGGGATTAGTGCCTTATCAGAAACCAGAGCGCACCCTTGCCTCTTCTACCATTTGAGGACAAACTGAGAAGCCCACCTCTGAGCCCGAAAGTGGGACATCGTCACACACTTCCCAGCCTCTAGAACTGTGGGGGTAAATTGCTCGAGTTTATAAGCGCTCATTTATGGTATTGTGAGACCTGCCTCAAAGAACAAGACAAGTCCCTTACTAGATATTTTATTTGCAAATAATTGCTTCCATTTTGTAGGTTGTTTCTTTACTTCCTTGGTGGTGCCCTTTAAAACAAAACAATTTTTATTTACTAAGTACTTATTTTTGCATTGAACTGGGGTGCAGTCTAGAGATGCGGGTGAGTGGATTCACCAGAGAGAGTGGGGAGTGAAACAGGCAGGTCTACTGAAATACACTACTGAGGGGAGCAGTGGGCAGGTCAGGAAAGGTCTGCCATGCCATGTGGGTCAGCTCCCTGGCCAGAGATTGAACTCAGGCCATGCTGAGACTTAACCCATAGGCCACCAGGGAGGCTCAGCAATTTTTAATTTTGAAGATGTACAACTTACTGAGGTTTTTCATTTCTCTTTTTGCTTTTGGTATCCTACTTAATGGGTCACAAGGTTTTACGCCTGTATTTTGTTCTGAGTGATCATAGTTTTCACTCTGACATATTTTATCATGAACCAGTGTGATATTGTGTTGATTCGCTTGTACTGAACCACCCTCACAGGACTGGAATAAATATTCCTTGGTCATGTTATAGAATCCCTTTAACAGAGTGCTGAATATTCTGAACATTGCCCGTGTTGTGCTGAGGGCCTTTGCATCTGTTTTCTGTTCATAAGGGATACTGGACTGCAGGTTGGTTGCTGGTTTTCTTGTAGTTTCTTCATTTGGTGTCAGGCTAACCTTAGCCTCATAGAATGAGTTTGAACATATTCTTCTCAGTTTAGTTTTTGGGAGGTGTATTGGTGTTACTTCTCCTTTAATTGTTTGGTAGAATTCATCACTGAATCCAGCTGGTCCTAAACTTTTCCTTTTAGGGGGGTTTTTAATTACTGTTTTAATACTCTGCTTTTTATTTCTCCCTGTGGATACATTCTAGGAGTTTGTCACTTTCATCAAGGCTCTCAATTTGGTTTGTTTACAATTTTTATAGTAATTCTTCCCTAATCCTTTTAATTTCTCTAAAATTGTATCAGTAACCGTGCTTTCTCTTCTGGTTTTAATATGTGAGTTTCCTCTCTCTTGTTTTAATAGTTGGTCTAGATATTAGTTCCTTCTTTAATATGATGTAAAGTTAAGCTGTTGACTTGAGAGCTTTCTTCTTTTTTTATTTGTAAAGATTGGTATATTTATGCATTGAAGAACTGGGGGGTTTAAGCCAGAGGTGTGGGGTGAAAGGATTTCAATATACAATAGTTTATTTTTACATCTTTTTGTGCCTTTTTCATCCCAGTTGTAATCCCCGTGGGCTTCCCATCACCAAATCACCCATGTGCCATCATCATAGTCCAGTGCACTTGGTATGTTGTTTATTTTATTTCCTGGGAAGAAAAGAATCTGATTTCCATAGTTAAAATATTTTATTACTTAGAATGTCCAGATTTCATAAAAGTTATAACTCATACAAAGAAACATACACACACACAAACACATATATATATAATATACACATATATATATGGCAATGTTTATGTAATATATATGTATATATATATAAAGAATTGTACAGAAACCTAGTCATTAGAATTATTAGCCAAACATGTTAAACTATCTGAAATTTGCTTAGTGAGCTAAAGAAAACCATATACAAAAATCTAAAGGAAGTCAATAAAATACTAAATGATCAAAATTATCGATCAAGAGACAGAAATCCTAAAGAAGGAACCAAAAAGAAATTATTGAGCGGAATTATACAGTACCTGAAAGTTCCATGGCAGATTCCACAGGCAGAAAACTTCATGAACTTGATGAAAATGCAATTGAAATTATTTAGTCTGAAAAGCAGGGAAAAAAAGAATGAGAAAAAATGAAGAGAAACTGAGAATCTGTGTGACAGAACAAATATTTTACTTCCCAAATCTTCCAAAATTTGATAATAACATGAAGAATTGAAATGGCTTTTATTCTAAGAATAAAAGGTTCTAAAGATTTTTACATGTGCTTGTATTCACCATATTAAAGAGACTCAATGAACGGCCAGCAGGATAAACCAAAGGATTCCACAGTGAGTCAAATCTCAATAGGTAAACTATTGAAATCAGAGACAAAGATAAAATCTTTGAATACAGCAAGAGGGAATCAATTTGTCACATATAAGGTAGCCTCAAGGAAGTTAACAGCCAGTATCAGCAGTCATGGAGCAGAGAAGGCAATGAGATGATTTATTCAGATCCTCAAATAGGAAAAAATAAACCACAAACAGTTATTTTTATATCTAGTAAAACTATCCTTCTGAATTAAAGAGAAACAAATATTCCCACATAAAAGCTGAGGAAGTCTGTTACTAGTGGACGATCTAGTGTGATAGTTAAATTAACATTTGTCAAATAGTGACCAATGTGAGCAGCAGCTCAGCAAAAGGCCACAGGGAGTTGATGCAGAGTAGGTTATTCCATTAGGGGCTGCATGAGGAAGTCAAGATAGCATGCAGGCCAGGAGCACAGCAGGTCAGGGGTATAGGGTTTATTATGCCTGCAGGTAGAGGCCCAGTTGGTTAATAAAAATTAAAAGAGCAGGCGTGGGTAAGCTATGAGGGGGTCTTATCAAAGGGTGTACAGGATAAGGAGCTGGGAGGCAGTGGAGATGGTATTTTATGAGGGTGATGGTGAAAGTTACAAGAGGATTTCATTTCCTTGTGAGTCTGTGTGCTGTTCTCTGGGTCATGTCCTGAGGAAGGTGCTAATCAGTTCAAGGCCCTGGAAGGCTGCTTGACCACACAAAATGGACACTGAGCTCTCAACTGTGGAGTTGCTTAGCTAAACTTTCAACACCTTCCTCATATGAAACACCAAAAGCTGAAACAAAAATCCATGAGGTAGTAACTCAAAGCCATGAATACCTAGTTAAATATAAAAACCTTTATTACTATCTGTGGTTTAGAACTCCTCTTTTTTCTGTATATTTAGAAGCAAACCAGAAAAAATTAAAATCTGTGACTGGTGACACAATGGGTAAAAATGTGACTAACAGTAATGAGGGGTGGAGTGGTGTGGGGCATAAAATACACAGAAGCAGTTGTCTTTTGATAAAAGGGATTACTAATTCAAACTTTGATTTGAAGGTACTATTGTATTCTACATGGCAGCCCCTATAAAAGTAACTAAAAATATGCAAAAAACAGAATCAAAATCAAGTTCTATAAAAGTCAACTAAGTACAAAAATATAAGCTACAAAATATCAGCTACATATGAAAATATGGAAGGGTTGAGGAATCTAAAGCACAGAGAAGACATTTAGGTAAAGGCAGTCCTTCCTTGTTATCAATTACTTTAAATCTACATGGATTAACTTTCCAATTAAAAGGCAGAGACTGGCAACATGGTTTAAAAAAATGATCCGTTTATATGCTAACTATAAGAGATTCACTTTAGCTCCAAAAATATAAAGAAATTGAAAGTAAAGTGTGGATAAAAATATTCAGTGCGAACAATATTGAAAAGAGCTAACGTGGCAACTTCTTGTCGTGCAAAATAGAATTTAAGTGAAAAATGATAACGAGATACATTATGTGTTGAAAAAGGCTCTAAAGATTTTTTACATGTGCTTTTATTCACCAATGGAAATTACTGTATTATATTTCTCAATTATTAAGATACATAGAAAATTTTCAAAGTTAACAAAAATCTTAAGATATAGATATTTTAAGAAATATCTGTCCACACAGAATAAACACAATTAACTTGTATGTTTTTTAAAAAATTGTAAGAATGAGTAAAAAATAATTACATTTTTTGGTAACATGTTCTGATAAGCACCAGGAAAAAATAGATGCAAGATGTTTTGGTTCTCAAGTGTATCACTGTGAGTTGGTGAGACAAAATAGTGTAACACATAAAAATAAGTCATTAAAAATTTAAAGAAAAGATTCTCAAAATTCCATCATAGTCATAAATTTTCTTTTTCTTTCTTGCATTCCTGTGGGAGGGGAGGTTAAAGGAATAGACTTCACATTCTTAAAAAGTAACCAAAAATACAAAGTTGGAACAGCATTTTCCAAAAATTCAAGAGGTAGTGTGGGCCAAGGGTTTTATATCCAGCTTTTTTTCTTCCTATACAAGACTTCTGAAAAATTTTTTTCAGTATGTATAAAAGCTCAAGCCTCATCTGGTCAAGAATTT